GTTGAGAATTCCCAGCTGGGTAGGAGATGGGCGTCTCCTCCTTAGAACTGGAGGCTTGCGAACTTCTGGGTCCATTCTCTAGGGCTGCTGTGGGTGAGGGAGCATACAGCGGGGTGATCTTGTTGAAGTAAAGTTGGGGGGGGGGCTGGCTAGACTTCAAGATTTCTTTTCCCTTATTGCAGAAAGAGCATTACATCAAAGCCAACAGAAGCAGCACTTCTGGCTCTGAAAAGAAAGGCAAGCATGACTTCAGGGACAGATGTAGTGTAAGAATGCCTGCCAACTCCTCCTGTCCCTGAATGGCTTTCTTTCTTGCTCGGAAGATTGCAGCATCAATAGAAGAGACTTCCTATTAATGGGATGGGTTGTTGCCTGGGGGTCAAGAAGGGTGGTTGAGCAATGGGCACTTGGAAGGCAAGGGTGGGGCAGTCAGTCAGCTGTGCTTGTGCTCTTGCTTGCTTGCATGATGTGGTTAGAGATCCAAGACTGTTAGCTGGCATTCAAAAATGCAGCAAAACTAGGAAGAAATAAATATTCATAAATCATATACAACCAAGGGAGTTAAAAGCCCTTGAGTTATCAGTTACAGATAGACCTGCCTCTTTCACAAGAGCATCATTGCCTAATTCCTAGTTTTACAGAAAAGGGAGGTACATTTTTCCCCCTCAGCTCTTAGATATGAGCAGGAGTGTGAAGCCAGAATGGGGGTGGGGTAGGCAAAGCACCAGATCTATTCAGGCCTGTTCCTGGCTGACGGAAGCAGGGAGGGAGGGCACTGGAATCTCTCCCCTATAAGGCAGCCACTCCACTTGAGGGCTGTGTTTACACTCAGCCTAGGTGACTCAGCTCCAGGCCTGCATTCCTGAACTCTGAAATGGGGTGGATGAGATGGGCAAGTCTTGAGTTGAAAAGCTTGAAAGGGAATCAGAGGAGTGGGCTTCCAAAAACAGTCAACCACCATTATTATTATTTTTTAGGGGGAGACAAAGAATGGAGAGATATGTTATAACTTGATGACCTAGAAAAGGGTTTAGGGTACAAGGGATAGTTATACTGTTAAAGTTGCAATACAAAACAAATTCTCGGTATCTCAGCGCCCTCTGCTGGCTCAATCTGAGAAGTGGCTTTCCTTGCTGTTATTTGAATGATAGGTACATTTTTATCTGATGTGTCATTTTCAGATTTTCTGAAAGACAGTGCCCTGTCTATTGTTTCACTAAATCCAATTGCACTGCACTGATTATGCTTTATGTTTGTATTATTTCACTCATTTTTAATAACTCCAATTTTGAGGCTATAAATTGTATTTTGCTCTATCCAAAACAACATAGGACATTTGCTTATAACAAATAATAACTGCAAAGGTTAAAAAAAAAAATCCACTGGAGAAAGTGTGAAATAATCCACCATTTGAATCCTATTGTTCATTCATAATACACCAAGATAGTGTGACAACTGCCAATCCGTTCTTCCTCAATGAGACCATTCAGTAGGTAAAAGTACATACAACAAAATTGTACCATACCCCATATTTCAAATTTAGACCAAATTAGGTCCATTCCTTCCTTTCTGGAATTGGTGGAATTGTATCTTGTTTTCTCTTGGAAAATGCTGTGCCAAATGAGAAATCTAGTAAATGTAACTAGACTAAAAAAGGAAGTAGGTATTAAGTCTGAACAGTTTGTGTGGGTACTGTCTACATAAATGTATATAGATGTGTTGAAGTATTAGGGTATACAGCATATATTGCTTGTAAGTAGAGGATCCTTATAAACCCTGACCCTAAATATTTTCCCCACACCCAGGAGTGCTTATCCACATTCCTCCACACCCCATTCTTCATTCCCGTGACTTCCTTCCTATGCTGGAATTTTAGCCACTAATAATGAATACATTTACATCTAGCATGTTTTGATTATAAACGTCATCCTTAGAATGTTCTATGTCTTAAACCAGCAGTCTACAATCTTTGCGGCTTGGTTGCCCGGCTGGGGAGGGAGGGGGAAACTGTGCCAACCCTAACCCAGCCATTTAAGAAGAGAATTTGGGGACTCTACTTGAGGACTATTACCAACGTCTTATTTTTAGTTTTACTCTTGGGCTAAAAACCGTATCATAATTTGTTAAGCTCCATGAAACAGCATTACAGTATCCTTGAATCCTGAGCATCCATATCTATTTGTGACTCCTTTAGAAATCGAAATCTAGACGTCTGGGCTATCCATCAGAGGTTGTGCTATGCAGTATTCCTGGGAAACCTGTGAAAGAGTCATATACATCTGTTTTTAGATGTCCACCACTGAAGGCCATCATAAGCTAATTTGGGACCCTTTTTGCTGTTTCCTGTAGAAAAAGTTACTGCATTTTTCTGTCATAATTTCTACTGGAGTGTCAAGTATGTACTGGAGTATATTGCATTTGCCCTCCTCAAAATCAGTGGGGAATGAAATACAGTTCCGATTATAGCCAGCTCAGTCTAGAGCTTTTATTTCTTTATGTAGATTCCACCTACCTGAAGAACCTACGTGATCAACCTAGGCAGTAGCTTAGTTGTAACCTAAAGTGCATCACTATTATCCACTTTCCTATATCTAATCAATTATATATTTTTCTCCAGATTTTGGTTTATGGTCAGGAGAGAGACATCTTCACAACAAAGTTGCACACATTATGCTCTTCTTCTTCTTCAGTTTGCTGCCATCCTCCACTCACTCTGCAATGTTGGGGTTGTAAAGACTTTGAAGATTCTGTTAATTCACACATCACACTCAGAATATATGTATTTGTCTTATTTTCTAGCTCTTGCTAGCTGGATATTTGTTGAAAGACATGTAATTTAAGATTAGGCACACTGAAGTATTTTTTTGGCTGATGAGCAAGTCATTTTGATACAATCATACAGAAAGGAATCCAAAAAGGAAAATGGGGAATACACTGAATTTTTGTTATTTGTGCGTATTTAAGAAATCCCCCCCCCCCCCCCGAATAAAGTCAGTATAGTTGAAAGTTGTATAATTGAAGTGTGGGATCGAGGACGGCAGAGACTCTTACACAAAGCGTAGGTACTTGAGTACAAGAATATAATAATGTTGCTAATAAAAAGTGGGGTTGTAAGGATGACCTATCTGCCCTACTTTGAAGTTATTGTATGGAAGGAGGCATATTTAAGATCAATTTAATACATATGTTGCACTGCCATTCATAAGACTTTTCCGGATAGTTTTCTACTTCGTTAAACTACAAAGTTACAGCAGTACAAATATCAATCGTCCTGTATCCAAACAAAAAACTTGCTTCTAAATGTCCTGCTAGCTAGAACAAATTACCCTGCTAGGTGAAAAAAAAACCAGTATATTATAATGTTGAATTAATTCTGGAAAGTTTAAAGATGAATTATAACCACCTAGCAAATCCCAACCTCACCTCACCCCCGCAAGATCCAGTAAGTCATTGTCCAAAATGGTATCTGTATTAATTAATTAATTAATTAATTAATTAATTAATTAACCACCCTGTTTTGAGGAACACTCTGTAGTATGGAGAACATTTAAAATCTTAAAGTCATGTATGCATGACTCAGATTATATCAGTAAGCTGATGACCATTAATGGCAAACAAGAGAAAGGATACGTTGGCAATATTTTTATGTGAAGTATTACACGGCCATTTTCCTTAGCAGGAAGAATATTTTGAAGCAGGAGATTGTGCGGCATCTGCATACTCCCTTGTGTAGCCTATTAACTGCAGAAACTGTATTTAAAAGCAATGATTCCTTTAATGGAAAAAAAAATCCTACAGGCTGACAGTTGCCATGAGATGATATAAAAAAGCAGCAACCTGCATTTAGGGAGGACAGTATGGAAGCCATGATACATTTTCACTGTATCTCTTTATGGGTATTCTATTTTATTTATATATTATGAAAATATAAACAGTATCATACCACTGAAGGTTTCCTAAAGACCAGGAAATGTCAGATAATGTTCCTCTTGCATAAAGTATTTCTAACTTACACCACCAATCTGTCAGCCCCCTTCCAGCTGCATTTAAACCAAGATTTATAAACCACGTTTACAATTCTAACAAGCCAAGATGGATACAACTTAAAACAAATAGCTTAGAAAAATTAACTCCAAACATGCTGTATTCTTTGACTGAGCAAGCTAAAAGATTCATTAGAAACTAGAGGGACTGGATCACTGCTTCATTAGAATTCATGTTCAACATGGAGTCCAAACTGGTGAAAATATAAGCAACTTTATGAACATACAGTATGGCAAATTAATCAGAATTTCAGAGGCTTTCTGCAGTTAACTATAGCCTTTTAATCACCTAGAGCAATACGACTAGCCTGATAGGAAGGAAAAACAATAGAGCAACAATTTATTGTCTTCTCACACTCAAATGGGCTCTTTGATCACATTGGCCCCATGATATTCCCCATCCTTCAAGTCATTTACCCAAATGCTTCATTGCTCTAAGATCACAGAAAACCAAGGGAACTCTTATACATCCAAGAGAAGGCAATTAGGAGCAATTATGTCAATTGTCCAAGTAATCTCGCTATTCCACAGTTCAGTTGGAGTTTCAACAGAATTATATTTCAGAAGCAGGAAAATTCTCCAGAGCATTTGAAATGCTTTTCAATCCATTAACTGCACCGTTTTAATCCTGCAAAGTTCTCAACAAATCAAAACATTAGGAGGTAATGATCTCTTTAGAGCAGATTGGGAATTCTAAAAATTGTCCTTCAAGGGATTTGGCAAAAAAAAGGGTCTTCAGCCAAACAGAAATACCTGGCGTGTAGTTTTAAAGGGAGAGAGGTAGAAGCTAATTCCACAAGATGCTAGATATAGGGATGCAAATGTACAAAAAAGGGAGAACAGTCTTTCTGATCCAACTAGTGCTATTTGGTAACTGGGAATTAAAGCAGACTTTAAGAGAAAACCACAACAACCAAGAAATGTGAGTGAGAATATTCATCTTAAAGGAGACAGGCTTTATTTTTTTTAATTTTCAAAGAAGACTTTAGAAAATATATTAACATTTGAAGGGGAAAAAAATACCAGCTTCTCATTTACATCCCAGGAAGACACATTTTCCCTTCATCCAAAAATAACCTACAATTTGCAGTCCTTTCATTTTTAGGAACTCTGAGGATCTTTGAGGGTGGCATGGATGGTTTTGTATTTCTGCTGCAGTTCTTCAAGCTTTGAGGCTGAAAAAGTAAAAGATCAGCTTGATAGAGTGAAAGGTGAAGGGGCCTGGGAGGCTTGAGAACCTTTCAGGCTTTGAAAGTGATGGCTCTATCTCAGAGGTCTCCAAACTTGGCAACTTTAAGACTTGTGGACTTCAACTCCCAGAATTTCCCAGAATTCTGGGAGTTGAAGTCTACAAGTCTTAAAGTTGCCAAGTTTGGGGACTCCTGCTCTATCTCTTCTTCAACATGCTCAGGCTAAATCAAATTCTCTCTACCCATTACATGTTCTTCTCTCCTAGATGCCCATCGTACCTTCCTTAAATTTCACTCCCTGAAGAAAAGACTTCCCCCATCCCCGGGATTAAATAGTTCAGTTAAGAAAGCACCCAACTCATAATTCACACCTCCCCACACACTAAAAGGCATCAGAAAGGGATGAAAAACCAGATGTTCCCTGAATGTCTGCCTCACTATTTGTTCTCTGACTGATGAAGTTGCTTGGATGAGCAACGAGACGTCTGAGATTAACAAAGTTTGGTCCAATTGCCATGATTCAACCTTTAGATACCTTTGGCCTGGATGATTGAGTCTTCATTGACATATTGCAAGACGTTTTGGGGAGAAACCCCTGAAGGTGGTGTGGCAAGAGTTGGTACATTCCAATGATTCTCTGACTAATTTTGCTGATCGATGAAGTTGCTTGGATGAGCAACGAAACGCCTCAGATTAATGAGGTTTGGTCCAGTTGCCATAAAACTTCAGAAAGGGAGTTTCACAAAGAGCAGTGTAGGAAGAGGAACTGACATTTATAGGAAAGGCCACAAGACTTACGTAATGTGGCTATAGTGCTTCCATTCCAGAACACTTTCTCTTCATGCCGCCGTTGCACCGTCGCCATAATGCGTTCTGAGGTTTCTGTAACCTGGGCCAGGCCTTGCAGCTCCTGCAAATGAGAATGTTGATAAAACAAAAGCAGGAAGCTCCTTTAGTGGCATCTTATCATCTCCAACTGTTCAATATTTTGTACTCCAGATTTTAATAGTTGTAAAGAGGTGGGACAGGAAAGAGGGAAGTGAAAAGCCTATTCTGGAGGATATTTTTAAATAAAAAATAAAAAAAATGGGAGGGAATTGTGTAATAAAAACAAAACCATGAAGCACCGGAAAGCTAACAAATATATTGTAGCACAGGCTTCACGGGTTAAAAGACATTTCTATTTGATGGCCCCTCAGTATGCCATTATGTACAGAAGGCAGGTTTACATAGGAAGAAATAAATTCCCGAGTTTAGCAACCTGACTGCTGCCTCTTGTATTCTGCAGACTTTTTGGTTCACTGCACACATCATTTCACCTTTGTGTGAACACACACTTGCCCTCTTTCTTTAATTAAAGATGGATTCTAAGTCTCAAGCACTTTTGTCACAAAAGTCAAATATATTATAAATGCCATGTTTAAAGAAAGCTACTCTAGATGGTGAAACACACAGGCACAGCCAGCTACCATTATTACAATTCCATCTGAACATGAACATTTAGAAATATGAACGCTGCTACTTCACATGAAACTGAGCCCCTATTTGTTCATAAGGTAAAGGTAAAGGTTTCCTCTGCCAAGTTGTGTCCGACTCCAGAGGGCAATACTTGTCTCCGTTTCTTAGCCGAGGAAGCCAAAGACGCCTCTGGGGTCATGTGGCCAGCATGACTATACACAGAGACTCACGGAATGCCGTTCATAAAGTAGGGAACCACGAATTGTCTGGTACCCATTTCAGCCCTTCCAGAAATTATAATATCCTTCTTGTCGTATCATCTTTGAGGAAAAGGGAGATGACAGAATTTAAAAACCGAACTAAATTGACCAGTTTGATATCTCTAATAATGGCAGCTACACCAAGGATCGGTACGGAAACTAGCAAGATAAATTTCTTTGATCAGTGAACACAAGGAACCTGTATCTAGACCCTGCCTGTCAAACTGGCGGCTCGTGGGTCAGATGCATGACGTGCAGGCCAAGCCCGACCGGCTCCGCAAAAGGCAAAAAACGTCATGATATGTCACAATACATCACATGACACGATCGAGTTTGACACCAGTGATCCAGACTAAAGGAAGATTGATGAATTGCCCTGTCCTTGTGAAATATGCTCAGAGAATAAGCAATTGATTTCCTTTATAATATAAAATACAAAAATACAAAAGAAAATAGTAGGGAAAATAGAGAAGGGAAAAGGGGGCAAAAGAAAGAAAAGGCATTTACTTCTGACTCCTTTTGATGCAGTAGAATAAATAATAGGATCAAAACTCAACTTTTTTACATTTACATAATAGTATAAATTAGCCATTTCTATAATAACAAATCTAATTGGTAAAACCCCAAATCAAATTTTCATTTTTGTTCCACCTCAAGCACAAAGTCAATACGCAATTATTTTCTAATAGACTTGAAACTGGAGCTATGGATACAATTAGGTCTTGATTAGTGTGGATAATGAATTATAATGAGCAACAGACACATTATTTCAATTAGCAATGTTCAAAGTGATATTTCTATGGGAACTATGATAATTAGTTCCATCACAGTCAAAATAGGCAATGAAAAAGTTTGAACTTAAAAATTACGTTAGTGCATTATCAGTGAAATATTCATACTGACTGCAATTGTCAATCTATACAGTTAAAAGATGCTGTTTCTATCATTGCAGTACTTCTATTCCTTGTTGATATTTGCAAATCACAAACAGCGGATGCAACTTTATTTTTTAATGTATACTTTATAATACTTTATAATACAGATTCAGGCATTCCAACGTCTCATTTTATTTCAGTGTTGCTATGACTAGTTTCACATGGTTCAATTAGATCAATTTTATTCTAATGTAATAACTAAGCCTCTTCTTTTTGAGCTTGTATTGTTTTCCTCTGATGGAATCTTCTCTTTCTCCATCTTGTACATATATGTATTTTAACTACCAGTATGTCTATAGCCCCAACTGCAACTGTGTGCAATAGCTGTATTTTCAGTCAGATTACATGCAACCTGGTATCAATTTACAATTTGCTCTAAACTGAATATTATATTATCCTGAACTTGGCATTAATCACAACCTAGCTTTGTATGAAATACAATCTTAAAAACAAATTTTGAAATTATTGTTGTTTTAACACTTCAACAAAAAACTATGAGTAGGGCTGATAGGAAGATTTAGGAAAGGGAACTACTCCATGCAAATGGCCAAGTGGATAGAACTAAGAGAAAGGTAGTCATTTGTGCATTTAAACATATTAAACTTAAAAGGTAGGTGCGTTTACCTAACATCAGGAAGGATGAAAACAATATGCTTGCCTTTCCATAATGTATCTTCTTCTGAAGGTTCATGTAAAGCAGGGGTGTCAAACTCACGTCGTCAGGGCAGCGGCATACCTCCCCGCCCTTGCATGCGTGACCCCTGCGAATGTGCCCGCCCTATGCAGGCGACCCGTGAGTGCCCCGCCCCTACGCATGCATGTGTGACTCCCACACCTGCCCCCATTCATGCATGTGCGACTCCTGCGCTTGCGCCCCCCCACAGGTGCGCACACCTGGGTGTGACTCCAGCACATGCGCCCCGCCCCTGCAACTCCTGTGTGTGCGGACCCCCCCACGCAGGCACGGCAGCGACCCGAAGACCAGCTGGCTGGCAGGAGGCATGCTCACGCATGCGCAGCAAGCTGTGCTGGGGCAACGGCTTGCGTGCCCAGAGAGGGGGCTCTGTGTGCCACTTCTGGCATGCGTGCCATAGGTTCGCCATCATGGGTATAGGCTCCCAAATTCTCTGTCTGTCCATTCACATGCCCCAAGCTCACCTGCATACACAGCAGCAGACTGTGGTGCACAGCTTGGAAGAGGAGGTCACAAGGACTCAGTTTAGGAGCAGGACGTTCACAATGCTTCTGCAGCTCATTCTCATATACTTGTTCAAAGGCCGTGAGCAGCTGGCTGTAGTCAGAAACTATCAGCTTGAGGGACTGAAGAGCCGTGGCAGTGTTGTTGGATGGATCGGCACCAGCAGGATTCCCCTGGAGGAAGGAACACTATTTCCCCCCCCACCCCACCAAAATATAGTGAAAACACCTGAATTGAAGAAAACAGGGAATCAGCTGTTTGAGGGTAGGATAGATCCCTTAAAAGCCAACCATTCATGCAGCAGTGGTAATGAACAGGTAATTAATGCCAAGGATCATTTCTATTTTATTTTGTTTTATTTATATCCTACCTTTATTATTTTTATAAATAACTGATGGTGGCAAGCATACCTAATACTCCCTTCTCCTATTTTCCTCACAACAACAACCCTATGAAGTTGGATGAGCTGAGAAGAAAGTGACTGCCCAAAGTCACCCAGTTGGCTTTTAGGCCTAAAATGTGACCAGAACTCATAGTCTCCTGATTTCGAGACCATCACCTTCACCACACTATAGAGCAACAGTGGTTAGAATGCGGTACTGCAGGCTACTTCTGCTGAATGCAATCTGGCAGTTCAAATGTCACCAGGCTCAAGGTTGACTCAGCCTTCCATCCTTCCGAGGTCGGTAAAATGAGGACCTAGGTTGTTGTGGTAAATAGGCTGACTCTGTAAACTGCTTAGAGAGGGCTATAAAGCACTGTAATATGCAGTAAATGCGACTGTTGTTGCTACAACAAACTACAGAATTTTTCTGGCTTCCTGTTCTGCTTGCCTTGACATTTCAAGCATCACCTACCTCCCTGACTCCCTATGAGAAATTGAATGAAATAGCTCTTAACTGCAATTAGACAGGATACCTCTGTTGCAATTAAAATACAGACATGCAAGCAAGTATATGCAAATGGATACAATAGCTGTATAGCAAAAAAAAAAAAAAAAGGAGAAGTAAGCGGTATTGTTTTTAATAATAGGACCAGAGAAGGTCAATAAAGGTGGAAGGCAAGGCAGAAGAGAGAAGAGAGAAGAATTAAGGGCAATGCCCTAGCACTTCCGTGGAAAAGGCTACTTAGGGTTAGCAACTCTTCAACATTATTTTCTTGAGTTTTTTTGATATGAAAACTTACTAATAGACATTTACCTAACACAATTAAAATAATTACTGTGTTATAGAGCTGACACAGATCATCAGTCTCATAAAATCAGATATTCCTTTCTGTAAATATTCCATGATGAGCCTACACAATTGGTAAAATGAAACATCACAGACTGCTTGTAACTGCAAGCAACGGGGCAAATGAACTGGAGGTGAAAGCCACCCTTCCCCCAATGTAAAACATATGCCACCTGTTTGATATAGCAGGTCTGTAACTTGCTTACCTGGGCTCTTAGATTTTCCAAGGCTGCTGCTGTCTTCTCCAGCTCCTCTGATGCCTCCAAGAGAGTTTGCTCATGAGAAGTCATTGACCGCAGGGCCCTTTTATATACACAGACAAGAAAGTGGGTAGCAGGAGTTCATGGTTTCATCACGACAGACGTGGGGAAAACAAGTGGACACGGCACATCAATGGAAACTGGATCTCATTTTTACACGAATCCTTTCCTCTATTTGACACCTCCAGCCTCCCCATGGTTCTACAATAAGCTGAGGTGAGGGGCTTCTTCACTCTCTCCATAACTTAACAGCAGGCACGGGAACCTTACCTTTTCTGTTGTCCTTCTCCACCCAAAAGGAGGGCCTTTATATCTGAGTTCCAGGGGTGACACTCTGGATTCAGCACTGCCTGCAGGTCAGGGCTAGAGAAAACCTGCTTTATGAATTCTTCGTTCTTCCTAGCTATTTCTTGGAAAGATTCCTCTGTGCTGCAAGAGAAGGCCGGGGAATTATAAAATGTAGGCCGCAGGGCAGTCTTAACCTAGGGAGTAAAATTGGGATTGGTACGAAGAGAAGGAGGGGTCTAAAAATCAAAGAGGACATGATCTGTTCCCATTAAAAGACAAATCAGTTTGATGGTAATAAAACATGGCCCCAGAGCACTGGTTTAAGACCAGCCATCTGAACTACTGCTCTGATTGCAGAAAAAGGGGCACACAGTTTCATATGTTTTAGCTGTGGCTGGATGGCAGTAATATAAAATGATGTGTTTTAAGATTCCATCATTATTGTCTAATTCCTGTGTACTTCCCCCTTTGCAATCCATCCCAAATATTTACTCCAAAATCCACACTAAAAAAAAAAGAATGCACCAATTTTGGACATTTTCCAGGACAAATTATCTAGGATGGCATGCCGATTTCATCCCAAAATCTGAACCAGCATGCCATTGTGATGGCAGAATTCCACACCTTCTGCCAACAGTAACAATTCAGCCCTACTCAGCAACAGCAACTATATTCAACACCACATTAACTAAATCTATCTATTTAAGCACACAACAGCTGCAAAACTTAGGGAATGATAATTGTGGGGAAGGATACCTCTCCCTCCCTCTCACCTGGAATAACTACCGGAGTCTGATATAGAGTCTAATAGCATAAAGTTAGTTTGAGCTGGAATGACAGCCACCAGCTGTTGCAGGAAGTGGAGCTGCTTCTTAACAGAGGCCTTTCCCTGTGGGGACACAAACACAAAAAAGCATACAAACTCTTAGCATCTTCCCTTCCAGTCTGATGATGTAAACAGGCCTCTCTCTCGGATATGCTCAGCTGTCGATATTCAGGATACAGTGTCTGAGCAGGCCCCATGTTAAAAGGGAATAGAAGAAAAATATCCAAGGCCTAGAAAGGAAATTCCACAAAGAGAAATGACATATGCTCCATTTCATTCCTTTTCGCATTACATAACCTAGACTTTTAATTAGTTAAAATATTACGGGGGGGGGGGGGGGGGGGAGAGAGGAAACAGCTTGTCATATCTATTGCAAGTCAGTCAAGCTGCAGGAAAGAGAAGAGTAGAAGAATATCCAGTCACAGCAGGCAGCAAGGAGCCGACATCTTCGTTGAATGAAGAAGGGCAAGGAAAAGGCATAAAACAGGCACGGAAGAGACAGCAGGCTGCTTTTGCAGATGTTTTCCTGGTGCTTACCTTGATGAGATCCAAATCATCAGCTTGACAAAGCATCAGCTCAGACCCCAGCTTCGCCATTCCTGTCAGGATAGGAGGAGGTTTAACCACAGAGGTGCCAGGGTTTCCCACAGAGTTATTATTTGCTCTGGAACAAGTTTCCAGTTCTCATGAGCAATGCAGTAATTGTTCCTGGTTTTCCCTGCTTGCAAATGGAAGATGTCCAAAGGGATACCTATGAAACATTTGGCATTTCAACTTTCTACGGCTCTGCTTTGGGTGTTTTTTATTTTTAATTTCCCATGTATTTGACAACTTTCCAGCCCAGATTTACCCATTCTGCTTTGGCAACAAAAAGAGTAAAGGGGAAGAGCTTGAGATTCTTATACAACATACACTTATACATTCCAAGGTTTCAGGTCTTAAGAAAGCTTAAAAAACACACACACACACACCAGTACTTTGATAGTGTTTTTACACATCTACATCTGTAGAATGATATTGGCGTGGCTGGCTCCATTAGATGCCAGGAGATGGCAGAAGTCAGGCAGGAGGCCAGGGCTGAGGAAGGCTTTGGAAGCCGAACCAAACCTACAAAAAACAAAGGTACTGTATTCTATTTTGTTTACTTTCCCCTAATTCCTAACGACCACTGCATAGCCAAAAATGAAATGTTGGCCCAGAGTGGAGGGAAACTATTCCTGGAAAGCAACATTATTTTTTTTTACAGCAGATTAGGGCAAGACTTGGCTTCCACAAGTAATTTTGTCTTTGATCTAGGTATCCATTTTTTTTTTACAAAGACACAGAGAAGTTGGACACCAGAACAAGATGCCTGATTCTTTCAGTGCCCGCTCAGAGGTGATTCTACCAAAAAAAAAAAAAAAATCCCCATCTGGTACTCCTTGTACAATTCTTTGTACGCTAAAACTCATAGTCAGGTATTGAAGAGGGGCTTGATTCAGTGACAGGGCATTTGTTTTGCCCACCAAGAGTCTCAGTTCATTTTCCAGTGTCTCCTATTCAAGAGACAAGACAGCAACAAATGACTGTGAACAAAAGCACTGCCTGTGTGTTGGGGCCCACTGGGAAAAAAGACTATTATGTCTTAGACTGAACTCATGTTACCAGTTTTGGGCCAAGAATTATATGTACAGACACAAAAGTCGATGGCCCCAGAGCAAAAAACACTTAGTATTGCATTGGGCTATTAATAAGGCAGCTCTCTTCACTTTCCTTTTCTTTCATATTAAACATATGGAATATTACAATTTGGTCACAAACTTTTAAAGGATCTCTGAGAATTCCAGGGCCCACGTGGACCCTCAGGGTGTGCTCCTCTGATTCAAAAGGGCATGATCTGATAGGCCAAAAGAGAGCCAATAATATTAAAGAGTAGTGAGCTAGAAGTCCCTTTCTTGAGTCATGTAGAAAACAAGTCTCAGATGCAGATTTCAAGCTTTGTGTCCCTCACGACTGTAGACTGCACCGTATTTGCTCACATCTTTATTATCCCTCTTGAATGGCTCCATTAGGTAGCTTGCTCAGTACAGATGGAAAAAAAAAAACGGTCAGGAGAGAATGAGGCATTTTAGTAATTGAGTCTTGTGAAGATACACTGAACTCAACTTGTTCAATTATAGAAAAATTTTGAGGAACCAGGAAAGGCAAGCCTTTTTTAAAAAAAGAGTTTCATAAACATAAAAGCAATCCATCAACCAATCTCTACACATAACATCTGCTGGGGGAAAGAAAGGGCTGTTTTCAATTGCCGAAGACAGGCATGGATTAAAATATGATTTCTAGCTTGCAAGCATTAGACAAAGGAAAATATGGCAACATAATAAATTATGAGTTGATCTACTTTTATGCAGCTTCTCAAATTATGAAGATTATGGATTAATCCAAGTCACATGCTACAGACTGAAAACCTAAACCATGTTCCTTGGCAAAAACCCTGCAGTTTTATATTTAAAAAGTAAATCCTACAGAAGTGTTTATGTCCGTTGGCTTAGTTCTGACAACACTGAGGACAGGACTTCAGAACAATCAGAATTCTGGTCCAAAAGTTCAGACTTTGCTTGGAATATTGGAAGCTTGATGAACTGAAACATGGACTGATGGAATGTCAACTAAGATGTGACTCATTTCCTGGAAACTGAGCAATTGCTTTGCTGTGCATCTTTATGCCAACAGAACACCAAAAATATTAACTCGCAGTACAAAAGTTGCTTTTTCTTTTTTCTTTTCACAGTGAAGTTGCCAGTATCCCCATAAATTAACTTGATGATTTTAAAGGGCAAAAAGCAGCCTTCTTTGGTTCTTAATATGCATCTCTTTTTTTGTTAACATGTTTCTTAAATAGCATTATTTTTCATTACTTTGAACAACCCCATAACTTATTTACAAGCAATGACTTCTTATCACTTATAAGGGCTTGCTGCATTTATTTACTTATTAAATTTCTATTCCGACCATCTCACCTAAGTGGTAGTTTACAATAGTATAATAAAACTATATGAACACATGACTAAAAGCACAGTTAAAAACAAAATTAAGAACAAAGTTAAAATATACAAGTTAAAGTAAAACTCAAAGTTAACAAAATGAAATAAATAAACAAATGCATTAATTAAGATCATTTAATTTGTTTCTTTTGGAGACATTTACTCTTCAAGATCTCACTATTCTCATTATTCCATTATCATCCAGCCTCCAAATGTGATTGTTTAACTAGAAGATGTGAATCTAACTACACATATATATGCCTAGTTCTATAGTCAATCATACTATCATAGTAACACTAAAACAGAAACCAGGAAATGGTTAGATGGAGAAAGATTTAAAAAAAACAAATGCGAGCTTGGTTTTCAATTATTCTAATGGAATTTTATGGGATAAACTAACAGAATGCAGTCTAGGATATAATTAACAGTTTCCCCATTTGTGCTCAGAGGGAACTTTAGATTCTTCCCACAAGAGAAATGCATCTCTATTAATTTCCACAGAAACAAGTAACATGAGCAGTCCTTGAAATTATGGTTTAAAGACAGGACAAAAAACTGACATTGGACAGCCATTTATAGAATAAATGTCCGATTTTTGTCCTGTCAATAAAACATAACTTCAAGAACTACTCATGTATTCTATTCTGCCCAGCACATTAGACTTAATGTCCAGGCTGTTTATAGGCATATGGCAAGAATATACAACAGATGTCTGGGGGAGCAGATATCAATTGATGTTTTATTTATTTCCTCCACAACAACCTTGTATGGTGGGTTGAGCTGAGAGAGACAAACTAGTCCAAGATCACCCAACCAGTTTTCGGGTCTGAGGTGGAACTAGAACTCGTAGAATCCCGGTTTGTAGCCTCCTGCTTTATTCACTAGACCCAAATGATTCTCCCACTTTGTAATTTCCCATTTAGCTTCATTCCTTTTTCTATACACATTGTGACTCTGTATGCAATACAAAAGGAATTGCATTGTCACAGTGTCTTTTAGTCTTTTTGACAAAAGGCTTTGATCCTGCATAGTTTGAATTTGAATCTCTATATAGTCCTATTCTACCCACCTTTCCACCCACAACCCAGGAACACACACACACACACATCAACAACTTTCCCAACTGATAGAATGATAGCAATTATTTATTAATCCACTTAATATGACCACTAGATATACAGTATACCTTTTATCTTTAAACCTGATTGTGATTCCTTATTGAAAGATGAAAACTGCTCTCGAAGAGGTGGGTACACACTGCAAGGGAATGCAAAATAAACTTTCAAAGCAAAGCAATATTGGAGTATGATTCACATCTTAATACAGAAGATTTTCAAAGTGAATATAAAGATAAAACCAGAAACTTTTCTTTTGGGCTTTAATGGATAAAGATTTTGAAAAAAAAATGGAACTTTGATGTTAATATATGTTGACAGCAGCAAGATTACTGTATGCACAAAAATGGAAGGACGCTTTAATCCCCACAATGAATGAATGCTTACAAAATCTGATGGAGTTAGCAGAGATGGCCAAATTGACTGTTTTGATTAAAGAAAAAAACACAATTACTTTAGTTTCTACTTGGAAACTGCTTCTGGACTTTGTGCTTTAGGTGGAAAAAAACGTTGATTTTGGATTTTACCTAGTAGATAGATTTGTTGTTATAGAAATGGCTCTTACATTACTATGTAAAAGTAAAATGTTGAGGTTTGATGCTACGGTATTATTTTATTCTACTGCATCAAAGGGAGTTGGAAGTCAATGCCTTTTCTTTCTTTTTTCCTTTTGCCCTACACTTTTCCCTTCCCTCCCCACTATTTTCTTTTGTATATTTGTATTCTTTATGATAAACTAATAGAAAAAAAAGAAAAAAACTTTCAGAGCCTTGTCAGAATATTATAAATAATTCGCACCCCTTCATAAATGCAAGTAATTCAAATTATTCAGAGATAAAAAAGATGAAAGGATAAAAAATATGTTTTCCTTTCCAAAGAGCAATACCAAACCATTTAGACATCTGTTTTGGAATAGCAATTATGATTATTTCCTATAACTATTTTAAAACAAGCTACTGTAAAATCTAGTTCTACTCATGGTTTTTCAATCTAGCAAGGGGGAAAACCCTTAGCATAGAAGGAAGAGAATAATCAGGGGAAGCAACCATGATTGTGAGATTGGCCTGGATAAAGGGACACAGGCAATTACTCTTGTTATAAACACTCCTTCAAGCGAAACTCTGAATATTCACTTTTTTACATTTGGATCCCATCAAACTATTATAATCCCATATAGTATCTAGGGAGAATTTACACAGGCAGAATCTGCCTTAATTCCATATATTTCGACAAGGCAAAAAGACCATCCTGCCTCTTTAATAATTTAAATACTTCAGTACCATTTAAACTTCTCTATCATATTTTCTTCCTGTCATTTTTATTAAAAGAGATTTTAAATGCCAACTATCTAAAAAAACAAAACACATAAATGGGCTAAGAGGTAACCAAAGTAAAAAACTTTAGTTCTTCTTTATTTCATTTACAAAAATTGGGTGATACTGGGTTTAGGACACAGGAGCAAACTAATATTTGTCAGCAGTTTCTAAATCAAAGGGCCCAGTCCAACATGGTTGCTTATGTAAAAAATGGTCTTCTCATGGACTATGTAGGTTTCCACTCCCAATTCCATCATGTGGGTTGGAGGAAAATGTTCCTATCTTTCTGGGATTATCAAGCCCATTGGCCAGTTTAGGAAGCCAGGTTTTGGCACCTCACTGTCCAAATATGGCAGTGCTAAAATTTTGTTCAAATCAGGCTCAACTGATGGACATTGATATGTAAGTAGTTCTCAGGTTAAGATGACAAATCGGATCAGAATTTTCATCACTAAACAATGCACAATGTAAAGCACAATTTCACATGACCAAATCACTTAGCGAAAGCCATTCCAGCAGGTCTGGTTGCTATTATTAATTTATTATCAAATGTAATTGCCATCAATCTTATGGTTTGAAGGGACTCTATTAAGCAAATAACTCATGTGATTGCAATTTCCAGCTTCCTGATCCCCCCCTTTGATTCTGCTTGTGAGAAGCCAGCAGGAAATCATGATAACGTGATCATAGCTTACTGCAATGTTGGAACTGTGAGTCGGATTCCAAGATCCCAAATTGTGATTACATGACTATAGGCATACTGTGACAAATGGAACTCCAAGGACCGGTCATAAGGACCATTTGTTCAGCACAATCATAACTTTGAAAGCTTGCTGAACAAATGGTTATAACCTGAGGACTACCTGTATAGGTTTCTTGACAATATTATGGAAATGGTTGGCATTGCCTTCTTCCCAGAAGTTTTCCATTTTTTACTCTAATCTCCCATCCAAATAACAATCAAATCTGACCCACATAGCTTTTCAAGGTCAATCAGGGTTAGCTAGATGCTGTCACCTAGCTGGACCCAATGAAGTGAAAATTACTGTAAATTAATTTTGATTAGCTACTCTTAATTTTTGCAAACTGTTTTCTGCAACTTGTGATTTTATGCTACAGTTAATCTCTACACTTGTTACAATTTCCTAACTTCCTTGCTAACATGTATAATCAAAGGAAAGTAAGTTTCAAAGGGCACACCTCTCATTTGATCAGAAGTGGAAATGGGACACACAGATGAACTGAAACTAACACCACCCTTAAAAGTAGGTCAAGTCATATAATTAAATTTTAGAATCACAAAGAAAGAAGTAGTTATGGTTTCAAGAGCTGTTTCTTTTCATACTAATAAGAAATAAATCTTGCTTGCTAGGAAAAGAAAATCCTAAAATTCCAATCTTATGATCTCCAGCAGAGCATCCTAAGAGCCACAGGATTTTTCAGTCTCCTACTCCCAAGACTACAGAGATAATTCTTTTTATCAGCAAAGAAATTGGCGATCAGAAACTTTCTCCTTTACCTCCTAGCACTTGAAAAGCTTAAAACAGGCATGGCAAAGAAGGGGCTGGTTGCAATGCCTCCTCAATTCTACAGCCATATTTCTCCAAAAGGAATAATGTATTACGGTATTTGCATTTAGAGGCTGACAAACTCCCAGATTCTGAACATATTATATTTTAAAAGCATGGAATAATAAAATGAAGAGGAAAAAAAAAAGAGAAGCATTCTCTATAAAGAAAATACACCAACATACCAAAAAAAAAGTCTGAGATTCAATAGATCACATATGAAAAATCTCAATCCAGGGAGCCTGCACAATTACAGCCACCCATTCTTGAGCCTGAATCGGGAGCCTGTTCCTCACGATTCAGACCTGAACAGGCACAGATATTGAGACAGGACCTTAAAAACATCACTTGGATGGCCTAGGGTCAAATTGTATATACAGCTGAATATTGTCTATATATTAATGATACTGGACTCTGAACTGGGTGACCTTATACAGGGGTTTTGTGGAGATATTAAACAAGGCAGCTATAAAGATTTTTCTCTGTGAAGGAGGGGGAAAAAATCAAATCCCCCCCCCCCAGCTCATACTGTCAGATCTGTAGATTTCACTGAGTCTGCACAAGACATTCTGACAGTACAGGTAGAATGATCACATCAGGGAATAAGGCTCCAATTGTAATACCCATTACCTGACACAGATCCATTCCAGTATGTCCAAGCGATGGGATGAAGGGCTGAATAGCAATTTCTGTATGTCTTCAGCATCTGACAGGTATACCCCCTCTAGTGCAGGGCAGCCCAGTTCCTGAGGATAATGAAAAATAAAATCAGGAATATTTTGTTTCATTCTATGCCTCCCTCTGTACTTCTTGAATTCTCCTAGGATCTCCAACCATCAAAAATACTTAGTCTTCTCACCCTCCTTTCCCACAGACCAATCTTAAGAAAATTCTTTGCATTTTCTACTATGTAAAATATGCAGAATCATGTTAAATGCTTACATAAATAGTAAACGGATAGGCAAGCCTCCAATTCTGCATACACTGGCCGTTTGCCATGTCTCAGCTTCAATTAAGATTCAAGTTGACCGAGGCATGACTTTTAATCACGCCAGCAGGGCAGTCATTCCCTCTCCCCAAATCCCTCTCTTTTTGCTAGACAATTTTTTTTAATGAAAACAAAAATTGGGAACAAAGGCTGAGAAGAGAGACAGGGCTCTTTCCATCTCCTCAGCAGCTTCAAAATTAACTAACTGGGATCTGCAGGGGAAGTTCAGGGAAATTGACAGAGGCAAATCTGATTGTTCATGTTTTTTATTGTTTAAAACTTTCAGTTTACTTCCCAGAGCCACATGTTGAATATATAGCCATATAAAATGAATAGTTAATACTGTAGGTAAAAATGTTTAGTTAGAAAGATTGTAAAGGGTTTATTTTTATTTTGACTTATGTACTTAAGCATAATATTCTGTCTGTTACTTTCTCTAGTCAATATTTATAACTACGTGCTTTATGCAACTAGGAACCTCTTCTTAGCAGACTTACTTGTAAGACAAGGATCAGAGCAGCAGCATCTTGAGATCTGCCTAAAGCCTTGTCATCTTTTAGCATTTTACTGTGAAAAATCCTTTATGACATGATTTAAATAGCACTATATTGTAACTCTTAGCCATTGAAGGGTTTGGCATGTGACTATTAAATGTATATTTTAAAAATGATTTTTATATACCTTTTCTCTTTAAAAATTTATCTCCAGGGAGATTAGTCTATCTGCCAAAGGAGTGGAAAAAGGTGGGCTTTTGGCCTCCACTCTATCCTACCAGAAAGTGGCACTATAAAATTTATTTTTTTAAAAAACCTTTAAGAGTAAAGGCTACAGGAGTCCTATGTCTTTCATACCTCCCTTGACGTAAGGGAAGGACAGCAGGTGGGGCACTCACAGAAGATATGTTACAGAAACAACACCCACCAAATTACTGTGATAAAGAACAGAAGACAGGGCCAAGGTATGAAGACCTAGGTGGCTTCTAGGAGAGGTTTAAGGCTTCAATCTTTCCAACCTATGAGCTTGGTGATACTGATACAGTTTCTCACGTATATTTGTGTGGTAATTCTTTTTAAAAAGTCTATGGTATAGTTGGAATCTTCCATGTCACTATCAAATTTATTGATGTTAACTCATGATGGGTAAATGTGGAAGTCATTCAGCCTAAAATCTGCCAGCACTACTCCAATGCCATTAACTTTTTCTGGAATGAGTTTACTCGTACAATATTACATTCACCCCACATCTGTATTCCAGATTTTTTAACCTCATACAGATTTTTGCTTCCTCGGTATTTTGAAAGGACAGAGGAATTGCTCTCTAGGGTTCAATTTGTATTACAACCACTATCTTTCAATGCATACAGTCAGGCTGTAAAGGTAGCAATATTAGTAGTCCAAGAACTGAGAAAACAAATATATACTGTTCTGAAATGTGAGGTCAACTTATTTTATTCTGTTTATACTGAATTGAAGTAGTATGTTGTATTCTACAGATGCATACAAAGAAGCAAGCTATTTTTTTTCTGAAGCACAACCTCATAATAGGGAATCCATTTTGGGTAAACAAAGAATTTGGAAAGGTACTACAAATGCATATAAAGTTCAAGAGATTTCTAAAGAAATCTTAAACATTAATGAAGTGCAAGAAGTCTATATTAAATAAAAGTTCAAGAATTCTAGGAAAGGTCATGATGCCCTCCATACAACATCTATTCTTTTTTTTCAAGTATAAGCAGCCACACTGAGTTTTCACAGCCAAACTACAATGCTTTCTATGCATATTTATTCAGAAGAAACACTCTGTTAGGATTCTATGTACAATAAGACTCAACATTTTACTTCTAAACATGTAGAGGATCAGGCTGTTTTTATGGAGCAAATCTCATCACATTCAGTGGAATGTAAGAGCTACTGCAGAATAAATTTACCAAAGATGGTAATATAAGTATCTTAGGCAAAGAAATTAGCTCTTTTATCCAACATGGATTAATAATGTATAACTCAGAAAAGAATGATACCTAAACTAGCACCCGGTTTTCATGATCAAGATGCCTACAACTGAAAATAACGGCGCCTACTACTGCTCCACACAAGCAGTATTTCGTGGTATACTGCCTCCGAACTTGGAGGTCCTTAAACACTTGTGAATAAATCTGACCTTTCTTTTAAAGCAATTTTCAGGAAGCAAATTAGAGACGTACATTTTCCAGAGGATCTTTAAAAAGCCAAGGAGCATTAAATGAGCATTTTGAAAACTCGTCTAGTCCACCGATTTGTTTGAACTTGAAATCTAAACATGAAAACAGCAGCCTTCCTTGTTAGCGCCTAAACGACCGGTATTCAAAAAGACACGGTCACCGCACCATATAAACCACCAATACACAGGCAGGTCCTAGATACATTTATTGCATTTGTACCATTTTGCTTTTTCCTGTAACTCGACATAATCATAATTTTTACGCGCTGCAGATGGCGACTCTGCCCGGTACACCCATCTCCAAAAGCAGCTACCCTTACTCCCCACCGAGACGACACGGAGCAATATTCCTTCCCGCCCGCTCCCTTCCCCCCTTCCCCAAATTCCTTGTTAGCTCTCGCCCACCCCCTCCGAGCTCCAAAAAACAAACCACCTTCAGCCGCCCATAGATCTCAATAACGCCACCGACCGCCATCTTCCCGCGCGGGGACTAGACCCCGCCCACACTCCCCTCTTATTGGTCGGTCGAGTTGGCAGCCTCGAAGCTGATAGGAAAGACCGAATTAGATATTCGCCGCTATTGCAAAACGATACATTTATGTCGCCCGCCCCTGAAGTGGAGGCGCATGAGAATAGGTTCAGAGGTCTGCTGGAAGGGAAGTATCTCCTTTTGTTGAGGGGTTCTTGTTTTGATTATGGAATCTTAGGTTATGGAGAAGAGTAGGAAGCTCCTAAGGATAGGAAAAGAGCGAGATAGCAGATCTAGGTATTAGGAGGCGAGGCTGAATCCTTCCTGACTGCGGGCTCATTTTGTCCAATCTAGTTTCTGTTAGAATGCATTCAGACGTGCAAGAGAAACTAGTTCCCCGGTGATAGTGGCACACAAAACATGCGCGCAGAAAATGGGACACACAGCAGTGAACAATTGGTTCAGTTAGATTCATAATCGCACAATTTGTGTGTATTCTGAACGGACTAAAACCTACAACAGAAGTAGACCCACTACAATTCTCCCTCCCCTATTACAGGTGGTTCTCAACTCACGACCACAACTGAGCCCAAAAGTTCTGTTGCTAAGTGAGACATGTGTTAAGTGAGGCGTGTCCCATTTTACAACTTTTCTTGCCACATTTGTTAAGCAAAACACTACAGTTGATAAATTAGTAACAGTGAATCTGGTTTCCCCATTGACTTTGCTTGTTAGAAGATCGCAAAAGAAAATGTGAGCCCGGGATGCTGCAACCGTCATAAATATGAACCAGTTACCAAGCATCTGAATGAAAATCATGTGACCACAGGGATGCTACAATGGTCATATATGTGAAAAATGGTCATGTCACCTTTTTTCAGTGCCATTGTAACTTTGAACGGTCACAAAGTGGATTGTTGTAAGTCGAGGACTAGCTGTACTGAATTACTAGGACCATTCCTTACCAGGACCATGCTGGCTAATGTTGCTTGAAATTGTAATTATGCAACCTCAGAAAAAAAAAATCCAGATTTCTGTATCATGCTCTACATCAGGGGTCCCCAACCACCGGTCCGTGGACCGGTACCGGTCTGTGGAACAAATCCTACCGGGCCGCTGGTTTGCTGGGCGCCGCCATCTTTTTTTGATGAAAAAGTGCTTCCGGTGAGCTTTTCCGGGTAGAAAGCTCACCAGAAGCACTTTTTCATCAAAAAAAAGATGGCGGCGCCCAGCTGATGCCGGTACCGGGCCGCGGCATAAAAAAGGTTGGGGACCACTGCTCTACATACCTTCACAGACAAAGATTAGGTTTTCCTGAAATTCTGTAGTTTAATTATAAAATTTGGCTTTTGAAGGCCTAATGTTGCTGACTTGAAATAGAATTCATTAATGGCCAGCAGGGGGTGTATCAAGCACACGGCTGCGGCATAATATCCAATTTCAACCTCTTTCCTAAATGGCGATTTAAGATGCAGTAATGTAGTGGTGTGCAAAGCCTAAACAGGCTTTGGCATTTATTCAGCAACAACTAAGTTCACCAGGAAGTTGATGTAAGAATTTGTCCTAAAAATGAAAAGTAGCACTTAGAAGTCAGATCAGTTAGGATAAGGATTCTGCTAGTCCCTTTTGCATGTGAGTTGCCAAGAGTTGGTTATAAGGGGGCTGCTGTAGAAATATTTTAAATAAATAAATAGAAGACAAAGACAGGTGTTATCAGAGGGTGAGAGTGAACTGTGTTTGTACAGCTGAACCATGTCTTGTTGAAGTCACCCAACTGAACCGCAAACTAGAAAATAGTTTAATTTAGTAAGCTTCTTTAACCCAGCCAAAATATTGCTTATCTGTCTAAATGGGGAGAACAATTTTGTTCTTTCAGATACTCCTCTCCTAACAAATGACTGTGTTGTCATCCAGGCTTGAAAAATTATGTGAAGTATCCCTTGGGATAGGGGAAATTCATTTAATATGATTATTTGTACATATGCTGCCTCATGTAAATCCAGAAGGATGGAAGTATTGTAAGTGAAGGTTTAACAGCAATGAAATGAAAAGGAAAACAAAAATTCACTTTCCAAATGCTCCTAAAGTACGGTAAGTAGATGCCGGGGCATATTTTGAGAAACTATTTTCTCAAAAACTATTTTTTAGTAGGATATTGATATAATTCCAACAATAGATTGATTATGGTGGACTATATATGCAATAAAGAAACAGGCTTAAAATAACTACATAATTTATCTGCATGTAATATATATAAAATAATGCCAAAACAGAATATAATCTAAAAATAATAATTACTACATCTAAATGTAATTGAACTTTAAAACTCCTGGAATAGAGGCAGGACTAATGTAATGTTTGAATTAATCATGAACATCAAAGCATGCTATTTTCAATTATATATAAATAGTAAATAAAAGATCTAGCTAGATAACAACCCCTACTGTGATCTTGGTTTATATCAGAAGTGTATGCAGTATGCTTAATTTGTACTGGGATGGGTGGG